GGAAGGAAGGAAGGAAGGAAGGAAGGAAGGAAGGAAGGAAGGAAGGAAGGAAAATGGAAAAGCAAACAGCTCACGCCCTGGCTTTCTTTCGCATGCCATTTTCTATACAGTGCACTTACTGAGACTATAACATATAATTCATTTAAAGTATGCAATTCAATATATATTCACAGAATTGTGCGACCACCACCACCACGATCAACTTTAGAACATTTTTATCACCCCCCGAAAGAAACTGTACCCACTTCCAGTCACGCCACATTTCCCCCCATTTCCTCCTCTTTTCCCCCAGCCCTAGGCAACCACTAATTTATTCTGTGTGTCCGTGGATTTGCCTGTTCTGGACAGTTCAGGTGGATGTAATCAGGCAACAGGTGGCCTTCTGTGACTGGCTTCTTTCACTGAGCATGTTTTCAAGGTTCATCCGCATTGTGACACATGTCAGTGCTTCATCCCTTCTCACGGCTAAATAATATTCCGTTGTATGGATAGAGCGTGTTTTGTGTTTCCATTCATCGGTTGATGGACATTTGGGTTGTTGTCACTTTTTGGCTATTATGAATAGTGCTGCTATGGACATTCATGTCCAAATTTGTGTGAACGTGTTTTCATTTCTCTTGGGTATAGACCTAGGAGTGGAATCGCTGGGTCACGTGGTTACTCCGTGTTTACCTTCGTGAGAAACTACCAGACTCCCCAGAGCGGCTGCACCATTTCACGTTCTCACCAGCAGTGCGAGCAAGTGCCCATTTTCTCCACGTCTTTGCCAACACTTATTATTATGTGTCTTATGGATTTTAACCATCTTGGTAGCGAGAAGTGGTATCTCATTGTGGTTTTGACTCGCATCTTCCTCATGGGGTACCAAGTCCTTTGATTTTACTTCCTCAATGGTCCTCAAAGCTGGCATTCTTGCCCCTGACACACCTACGTCCCTTACCTAAGTCCCCATTCTCTGTCAGTCACTTTCCCGACTTCTATTTTTAACCACTTCTGTAGTTTTTCTTTGTAGAACTTACTATAGTTATAGTTTAATTATCAAATTATTATATAATCTTTAGAATGCCCGTCTCCCCCTTTGGAGCATAGTCTTCTTAAGGGCAACTGTTTTTGCTCACCAGACTAATGCGATACCTAGAACATAGTCAGTTGTCAATAAATATTTCCCTAAGGAATGAAGACATTTGGACCAGCAAGGTCAGTGAGAACCTACTCGGAATATCTTTACTATTTCCACAAAGGGTTAGCCCTGATTCCTAGGGGGTCCCTAGAATGTGCCAGTGGCTTGGGGTCCAGGAGGAAACTAAGACATAGGAGCCGAACCTCTGTACCAGAGGTTCCGCAGCCTGTGGTCTAAACTGACCATTTTCTCTGGGATCTCACAAAAGCGGTCAGGGAGCTGTCTGTTCATGGTGCCTGGAGATACCCGCCCCCCCCAGTCTGGGCCACGAGCACCTGGGGCGCCAGCCAGCTCTCCAGCTGAGCTCTAGAGAGGACTTCAAACCTTAGGACCCATCAAAGCAGAGAGCGAGTGGTCAGGAGTTGCTGGCAGTATGAATGAAGCCTGATGCATTTATAGTTAATCATTTACTGGGAAGAGAAATAGAAACGAGGACATTTTTATCAACACTTTCTTATTTCTTGTTCTCCTTCGCTTCTTTTCTTTTTTGCTTCCACAAAATCAGGCAGTAGTACAGCGCTAGGGGAGGGATCTTTGCTTTCTGATCCGCACTGTGGCCCCAGGACCTAGAACAATGCCTGGCTCGCAGTGGGAACTCACCACGTTGGATGGCTGGCTGGCTGGCTGGCTGGCTGGCTGGAATCAGGAGCACTTTGGGGTGGGGAGCGGCGAGCTAAGTATCGTAGGTGGGGTGCGGGGTGTGGGACGTGTGCCTACTTGCACACCCCCTGCCTTTAGAAAATACAGGGCCATGTAGCAGCAGCTTTGGAACCTGCTTTCCCTCCTGGGCACATTGCCCACCCCGCTACCCACTTTGTCCCCTGCCCACTCCAATGGATGCTGATCGCTGAGGACTGAGAGCCCACTGCTCCCAGACAGGCTGCCTTGCCCGAGGCTCTTCTCTTCCTTACCAGAAACCCCCTGTCCAATTAACCCGTTGATTCGTTTAGCGGAGGGAGCAGGAGGTACAGTCTCGCTTGTGGCTTGGCTTGTGGCTTTGCTCTTGGCCAGGCCTCCTCGCAGGTGTGCTCAGGGGCCCCACGGCCACGTGACTGCTGTTTCTCCTGCTCCTCGCTTATTTCTCTAGAGAGGTCCTCTTTAGATGAGATGGGACGCTGCCCGGGGGAACACAGGGGCACCTCGGCTTGCCACTGGAGGGGCACGTTCCCCTGTGGCAGGGCGTAGTGAGTGAAGATGCTCGAGCCGCGGGTTGGAGAGTCGCACTCGGGCCCACCCTCGTCAGCGGGCTCGCTCCGCAGCTGGACGCTTTTATAATCCATCCTTGCGGTAACTCTGAAGATCATGGCAATTAAGCCAGAAAGTGGCAGCGGGCGGATCCAAACTGAGATCTATAGAGTCTAAGAGCAAAGCTCGTTTTACTTGTATTTTTCTCCCACTTTTCATTACTCTGCTAATGAATTCCCCCGTCGTGAAAGATCGTTTTAAATGAATTTTCGGTTTCTTCATGTGTCCAAAGGGGGCGTTACCATAGAAATGTGTGTGTTTTTGAGTCCCCAGAAATCTATACTTAATTAGTTTCTCACGGTGCCTTCTGCCGACCACAGCAAAAGTCGAGGGGTGAACGGAAATTAATTCGTGGCCCTAAATAATTAAAAATTTTCACCTTTTTTCCTCTTTGATTTTTAGAGCAGTTTGTGTTTTAAGGCGATGCTTGAGCACATTTGCTGCCTGCATGTCACAAGGCCATTCAGACTTCAGGCTGAGTGCCGGAGTAGCGGACGGTCTCTCTGACTCCGTGGTTCTCAGCTGGGGCCGACGTCCCATCCACCTCGGGAGACATTTAGCGATGTCTGGAGACATTTGGGTTGTCCCAGATGGTGAAGGGCTGTTCCTACGATGCATACAGGACAGCCCCCATCACAAAGAATGACCCGGCCATAAGCTCTGTGGTTGGGGGAAGTGGGCAGGTTTCAGGACAGTGAGCGGCAGACAGACTACAGACCTTCAGGTTCTATCCCATCCTTTCTACAAGACTTTGGAGTCAATTGGAGACCCTGGCTGCTCCCTGGCCTAAGCCATGATTCCTCATCCCACAGAAGCTGACACTTGTGCTTGCCCTGGCAACGCTGATAGCCGCCTTTGGGTCTTCCTTCCAGTATGGGTACAACGTGGCTGTCGTTAACTCCCCTGCCGAGGTAAGTCACTGTGGTGAGTGAGATGCAGCCCCCAGGAAACGGGGAGGTGGGTTTGGGTCAGCCCGGGCCTGGATATGGCCGCCAGGGTGGGACTGTGCACACACGGAGGGCACACGATAGGCCCTCGAGCGAAGGGACAGGGAAACACCCATGAGACACAGCGCAGGCCCAAGGGGACTGGCAGGTGCAGGACCATGGGGATGAACCAGGTCCCCAGGCCTGGCTGGACACCCGGTGAGCTGGCCTCTGATCTTCTGCAGCCTCGCAATCTATGGAGGAAACTGGAGGAGCAGGGATCACCCAACAGACTGGGAGAGCGGAGTCTTTCCTCCCGGTGTTAGAAAGATCTGGGTGGTCCCTCCCCAGCGTGCCTCCCGCGAACTGCTGTGAATACAACTCTGTCCTTACTCCCTTTCCCCGACTTAATAACGTCGGTATCTCTGGGCCCAGGTGATCCTCGTGTTGGCCCAACAACTTCTGTTGCTCTTTCTGCAAAACCAGGTCACATTACTCTGGTGTTCTGTTCTGCTTTGTTTTCCAGATCATGAAAGAATTCTATAATGAGACCTACTACGATAGAACCAGTACATACCTGAGCGACTTTTCCTTGACACTGCTGTGGTCTATTTCTGTGTCCATGTTCCCCTTCGGAGGCTTTATCGGATCCCTCATGGTCGGCATCTTGGTGAATAAACTGGGCAGGTAAGGGAAGGTGAATTTTCAGTTCCGCGAAACTCGTAGACCACCATCGGACTTTAAAACCTAGGCCTAACGCTGAAATCCCCATCGTAAAAGTAGGCAATAACCGCTGTGATGATTTCTGTTTTCTGATGTGACTTTAAAGAGACCAGACATTGACCAAGTATCTGGGGATTTAGGCAAGATGTTAGGGCCGGAAGTGGGGGTGGCGGGTCCCAAGGCTCTGGGGTGGACACAGGAAGACCAGAGCCGCCTCAGAGATCAGAACTCGCTCTCTCCGTCTCAGCAATTTTGCCTTGAAGGTTTTGTGTTTTGTCTTCATTTTTGTTTTTTTGGTTTTTTGTTTGTTTATCAAAAAAAGTTCTTTTTTTTAATTTTTTTTTTTTTTGCCTTTATAAGAGTCAAGCACCAGATAGCATGGCCAAGAGGTCCCAACATAGATCGTAGCACAGTGTTCTTGAACTCTGCTTCCTCGACGAGCATAAATTACCTTTTTTGTTCTTTTATGTCTAGACCAAGTCATATGCAAAATGTATCCCGATTTAAATTCCTGTAAAATTCTGAAATGGCAGAGATACTCAGGCATTGAAACCGTGCGGTCCCAGGGCGATTCTCCTGAGAGTCGAATAGCGAATGCCAAGAGCAGAGCTTATATCTTTGCTCCTAGCTCTACAAGCGTTGGAAATTTTGTATTCAATTCCAAAGGAGATCCTTAAGACACCCTGCTCCCCAGGTCAATTCCTGGGACGTGAGAGACAGCCTCGTTACAAAGAGCGTCTAAGAGTTCCTCTCTCAACCTTCCCCAAGGAGCACAGGGAGTCTGGGCGGGGTCTAGTCCCCATCCTCAGACACAGATTTAGTTAGCTCAGGAGTCTAAGTAAGGCCAGAACCCAGATCTTGTTTCCTCTCCAGTATTTTTCAAAAAGAGTCTGAGAACAGAAACACACAACCTCTGGTCTGGATCTAAGATCCTCAGGTCTTCTTAGGAGGTTAGCATTGGACTCCTAGTTTTCCCTGTGGGCCCTCCGGGGAGCAGGACGTCAGTGGAGTCACGGTCAGATCTGCAGGACGCTTCTTCTTGCGTGCAGGACTTGTGGTTTGGTCCACAGATGGAGCCGACAGTTGCTTGTTCAGCTGTCTGCTGTGGAATATGATAAATACTATTCAGTTGTTTTTGGTTTTCTTAAAAATTCGTAGGCGTTCCTTAAACAACAAAAGCAACTAAAATCGGTTTGTGGGTTCCTGTGTGCCAGGCTCTATCCTGAGTGCTTTTAGGGTTATTAATTCCTCTAATCCTTGAGCCCCATCCTCTTTTCAAAACCTGGGAAACAAGGCACAGATGCTATAGCTTAATCCAAGATTACACAGCTGGGAGGAAATTCCACTTCCGACCACGTGCAAGTCACCGGCACACTGCACTCTGTTATAGTGGAGAAATACCTTCTCAATCTGTTGCTTTATTTTTTAATCGTACATATAGTAGTATCTTTTTATACAAAATCTTTCATTGTTCAAGTGGTCAAATTTATGGTTTTTGCTTTTTTGTGTCTTAAGACAGCCTTTCCTTCCTGGACTCGTTAAGGATAACATTTGATGATTTAAAAAATAATTTTACCCTTTCGTTTTTCCCAGATAGATCTGGAATTTTATTTTGTATATGGTGGGTGATGAGAGAGAGCTAATTTTTTTTCCATGTGAAAAGTTGATCGTTCTTAAATTTGTCTTAGTTACTCATATTCCTTTACTCTTCTGTGTAAACTTTTAAATCGGTTTCTTAAAATCCCTGAAAAAAAGATTCTGCTTGGCATGGCTTTGAGTTTACAATTTGAGGAAAACTTACACTGTTGAATCTTCCCCTTCATGAGCAAGCAAGAGCTAATTTATTGACCCTGGGGTTTCTTGTCTGAGGTTTCGTGTCTTTGTCACTCGTTATGGAAAAATTTCAGCCATCATTTCTCCAGATATCCCTTCTCCGTTTTCTATATTCTTTCTTCTAGAATTCAAAGGCTTGACCTTGTTATTGTTGCACTACTGACTTCTTTAAAAAATTATTTTTAAAAAACTGTGGTAAAATATACATAACATGAAACGTCTCATTTTAACCATTTTTTAAATGTACAGGTTATTGGCATCAAGTACATTTACATTGTTGGGCAGCCATCACCATCATCCATTTCTTTAACTTTTCACCTTGTGAAATTGACGCTGTACCCCCATTAAACGCTAACTCCCTCTCCGCCCTCCCCCCAGCCCCTGGCAACCACCATTTGACTTTCTGTCTCTGTCTCTGTGAGTTTGACTACTTCTAGGCTCGTGTGAGTGGAATCATACAAGATTTGTCCTTTTGGGACTAGGTTATCTCTCTTAGCATAATGTCCTCAAGGTGCATCCATGGTTTAGCAAGTGTCAGAGTTTCTTTCCTTGTTAAGGCTGAGTGACATTCTGCTATACAAATATACCACATTTTGTTTTACCCCTTCTTCCGTCGGTGGCCATTGGGCTGCTTCTACCTTTTGGCGCTTGTGAATAACGTTGTATTATAATCCTCTATGTTTTAATCTTTCATATTTTTCTTCTTCTTCTTCTTCTCGTTCTCCTTCTCCCTCTTCTTCTCTCTTGCTTTCTCTGCAGTATCCTCAGGTCTTTCTATTCATTAATTCCCTCTGCAGCTATAATTCACCTTCGAAGTTTTTTACTTCCATGACTATACTTTTCATTTTAGTAAGTTCTATTTATTTGTTTTTAAAATCTCTCTCTCTCTTTTTTTTTTTTTTTTGGTCATTGTTTTGGAGAGTTTTTATTTTATAAAGTTTCTTATTCTTTCTTTAGTATTAATTTGGTTCCTTATTTTATGACACTAATCGTTCAAAACATCTTATAGTCTCTAGCTAATCCTATTGTCTGACGCTGTGCTGTTTATATGTGCAACTTCTCGCATATGGTGGCTCGTTCCAGCACTACGGGGCCTGGCTGGGGCCTCCTGGGGATTACAAGATGAGGGCCTCTTTAGAGAAATTTTCCTTTGACTTTTATCAGGCTTCCCAGGGCTCAAGTCCACTTCCTGTCTTGTTCACGACTTAAATGAGAATGCTTTTTAAGTTCAATTAAATTTGATGTCATAGGTTTTTAGAAGATATCACTTTTACCAGCCTACATAAGTCCGCTCTGTTTATAGTTTGTTAAGGTTTTTTTTTTTTTAAATCGTAACACGTATCAAATTTTATTGACTTCTTGTGCTACTTCAATTGATCGTCTTATATTTTTCTCCAGAATAACCTTTAACGCGGTGTTTCTAACACTGCATGCTTTTTGTATGCACTATAGAATTCAATCAGCTACGATTTCACTTAGGATTTTAGCATCTAAGTTAAGTGAGGTTGGCCCCTACTTTTCTTCTAGTGCCCTTACCCAGTTTGGGTTTCAAGATTACACTAAAACCGTGTTAGTTTGTTAGTTTATGATTGCAAAGACCTTTTACTATATTCCTGCATACTGTCCCCAAGTAGACATGCAGTGAACGTTCGCCAAGCAAACAAGTGAATCCTTAGACCAAACTAGCTAATATTTTGTCCTCTGCAGAAAAGGGACCTTGCTGCTGAACAACGTCTTTTCCATCGTGCCCGCCATCTTAATGGGATGCAGCGAAATTGCCAAGTCATTTGAGATCATAATTGTGTCCAGACTTTTGGTGGGAATATGTGCAGGTAAACGATGCTACGCTGCGTTGCCATTCTGTGACTTAGAAAAACCAAGAGGAGGGAGAACGGGTGCCGGGGTGGGAATCAACCTGGGGTCCCCGAAGCACAGATTCAAGCTGTTCCTCTGCCTCCGCCATGAATGACGCTCGGGCCCCTACGTCGGTGTCATGTGCGGACAATGGGCAGATCTTCCCTGTCTTGTTTCCTGGGAAGAAAGCTGTTCTCTGAAAAACTGAAATACAGAATCTGAGATTCGGAAGGGTCCTTCCAATCCAGTCCTTTATCCCACGTTTTCTAAACTGTAGATTGGGACCAGTTAACGGGTGGCGACATCCGTTTAGTATCATATTCTTTTTCAAAAGAAACGGTGTCACATGTAGTCAAGACAAGGATTGTCTTTTGAAACTTTTGTTTCGCTTATTTATCCGAGTACATACGTGAGAACCGGGTGCAATGTAAAATGCATTTCTGTGTTTTTGACTGTGGGTCAAGGTCAAAACAGCTTGAGGAGCAATCTAATTTACGACCCCTCTACCAGAAAGGAGTTGATGATAGCGACCTCTCAACTTTCATAGGGGAACTGAAAGTTTGCAAAGGGCTTGCCAGCTTCTACTTCACTCATGCCTTCAACGCCCGCCCGCCCGCCCGCGGAGGAGGTCAGGGCCCGCCTGAGGTCTCTCGGCTTTCGTAAGCCCTGGAGCTGCTTTGCAAACCCTCCAAGCTATGCTGCTCAGGCTGTACTTTGTACCCCCGCGTTTATAGGAAACTCCCCCAGAGTTGCTTCGGCCTGGAGACGTGAGCTGAGCCCTGCTGCTGCCTTCCGTCAGGTTGGCTTTATTTTAGACAGTATTTCCCAGGGCCGGTCAGGGCGAGCGAGGTGCCGGGCGCAGAGTAAGGAGGCGCCCTGACCTGGGGTCACGCACCCACCTGCACCGAGGGTGAGCAGCCCCCAGAAATGCCGCCCGCAAGTGCCTCACTTAGCCGCCTCACCGGGCCCTAGAGTTGCCGAGTCACTCAGTTTCTCCTTCCAAACACGGAGACAAACAGATTCTTTGGCCGGATGTCAGCAAACCCCTTGGCTGAAGTTAACTGGCAGCCAGGGAGACGTCAGGAAGACTAGTGTTAGGAGGAATGGCGAGGGACGGCAGGGCTGAGACTAAAGAGGAAAACGAGACTCCCGAAGAGAAGAGAGAGAGCTCATTTCGGGAGTGACCGGCGAGCCCACCGGCGAACCCCCTCCTCGTCCCCTTTCCCTGAGAGCACCTGGCCAGGTCCCTGCCCCTGGCCCTGCACCAGCCTTCGCTTCCCCTGCAGGGGGCTCAGCTTTATGAAAAGCAGATGACTCCTAAAAGTTGTCAGCGGGCATCAGGGGCAGCCACTTTTCCACTGACCATCCAACAATTCAGATCTGGTTCTGACGGCGAAACATTAAGGTCCAGCAGATACCAGATCACAGCTAGAAGTCCCAACCTTTGCTCCTAAGCATTATTTTAAGTCAGCGGTTCACAAACTTTGGAGCCTCAGGATGCCTTACGCTCTTAAAATGATCTTGAGGGCTCCAAAGAGCTGTTGCTCATACGGGCTCTATCGATCCCTATTTACCATATTAGGAATTGCAACCAAGAAATGTATTAATTCATTTAAAAACAGCAATAATAAGCCCATTACATGTCTTTACGAAAATAACTATATTTTCTAAAGCAAACACTTTAGTGAGGAAGGTAGCGTTGCTTTACGTTTTTGCAAATCTCTTTAGAGTCTGGCTTCACAGAGGACCTGCGATTCTCAAACTTGCCTCTGGGTTCTGCTGGTCGCAAGCAGCCTCCAGAAAACCCCACTATGCTGATGAGAGAACAAGAATGCAAAAAACATCTCTGAAAATAGCTCTGATCTCGCAGACACCCCGAAAAGGTGTCAGAAACTCCCCGGGTCCCCAGATCATGCTTGGAGAACGCCGGCCCAAACGTAACCCGTGTGCGGTGAATCCTCTCCCACGTCTCCTGAACATGTCAGGAGAGCGCGTGAGCAGCTCCTTAGACATCGTACAGACGGTTCTGACAAACGGGGCGAGAGATAAACACGCCTTGGACTTTGCCAGTTTGTTCTCAGTCACCTTCCTGGTGAGAGCGCTGAACGCTTTCACTGAAGGAACTTTCACTTGGAGAGCTATTTTCTCTGTCCCTGCTGTCAGAACAGGTCAGCTGGGGTTGCCCCGTGGAGTCATCTTGAGGACAAAATAGAGACCGCTTTCCACCAACATGAGGGGAACCCCATCTGTTCACAAACCACCTGATGCTTCATTCTTCAGTATTGTTTTAACCAAAGTCAGAAGTCCTTGCCGATAAGATGCGGCCCCCAGAGCCTGGGTGGTGACCATGGGGCCTGTACCTGAGGGACTTCGCTTCCTCCCCAGCTTTTTGGGCCCTGGACCTGCGGGGTGCCCCGCCCCCAGCACCTAAGGGCTGTCCTAAAGACTGAGCCTCTCTGCTCTGAAAATCGGAAAGAATCTGTATTAACGAACAGTGATGTTCATTACCACGTTCTCTGACCAGGTGTTTTTAAATACTAAGCAGAGATATATTTGGGCAGAAATGCAAAGTTTGGACACTCGGCTTTCCGTTCCCACCTGTCTCACTGTTATTAAATACCTTCCTGTTACCAACAGCTCTAACCTCCGCTCACCCCACCTCTGCGTCTCTCCGCTTTCTCTGGGTCTTTCTGTGGCTGGGGCCTCCCGCTCAGACCACCCCCCATCTTCCTGAGCTTCAGCCTGATGCGTGGGTAGCTGTGTGACTCTGAGACTGGTAACGACCCATCACCTTCCTCCGAGATCCCCAGCCTCTCATTGGGCGTCGAGGACAATTGAATGGGATAATAAATGTGCAAAAAGTTCAGAGCCTATAAAATTAATTCCACCTTTTCTTAAGGGGATCAGACGTCTGTCAGTCAGATGGGAAAACTTACAAGTTTAAGTGTTGGGGATTCGGAAGTACTCCAAGCGTTACATAAATCCCAGATAGCAATTATTCCACAATACATATTTGTTTTTAATGCTTATTGATAAATATAGCTTGCGTTTCACTATCTTTGAAGGTACCTATGCATCGGTTTATTACATAATATACTGTTTCGGAAGGTCACGTGGGTGGGCAGGGGTCCTCGGCCTTTCACTCACAGATTCCTCGCAAGGACCAAGGGAGGGGAGTGTGTGGACCACACCTGGGCTTTTCTTCCCTGAGATCAAGCCACTTAGGAGGGAAGGCCTGAAGACAGGCTGGCCTGTGTCCCCAGGTGACACCAGTCAAGAAGCAATGGCGCCTGTCTATGAACTTCTCTGGTCAGACTATTTTCTCTTTCCTTAAAGTTTAAAGGACTAAGAATTCAGAGAGACGTTTGCATACTCCTGCAGTTTTGAGAAAGTTTCAACCCAACTAATGTGATTCAAATAAATGTATTTGAAGACATAGCATGTCCCCGCCAGACGAGCATTTCCTGACCATGTCACTTCCTCCCAGGTCTGTCTTCCAACGTCGTCCCCATGTACTTAGGGGAGCTGGCCCCGAAGAACCTGAGAGGGGCTCTGGGAGTGGTGCCCCAGCTCTTCATCACTGTCGGGATCCTCGTGGCCCAGATCTTCGGCCTTCAGAATCTCCTTGCAAATGAGGAAGGTAAGCTCGGGTCGCCTCCCGGCCCCCAGCCCTCCCTCTGCTCTGCTGGACATTGCTGTGTTCTGGTCTTTTCTCTCTAACTGGCTGGCTGTCCTTATAGGTCCCCACCTGCCCTGACTGCGTCCCGCCCCCACATTGGTGGAGACGGACTGGCTGACATTTTCTAGTCTTTCTTACGACACGGATGAGGTGGCTTTGAGTGATCAGGAAGTACCGTTGTCTGACTTTCTCTTGGCCTGATGGTGGCTGTCCATACAGGTGCCTGGGGCACGGTAATGACGGCCACCAGTGTCCCGGGCTTCGTGTTTAGTTTCCCCAGCACCACTTCACTTGAGTCTCCCAGCAACAGGGGCTCTGTGTTACCCCATTCCACAGACCAGGAAAAGAGCCATTCGACCTTGCCCCTATGGGTGACATCTGTCACCCCGATCCTGACTCCAGAGCCACATCCGCCTCCCCAAGAGCCCAGGGTCTGGCACATAGTAGCTGCGCAGGAACTCATAACTGTCACTGTTTTCCGTGACCTCCCCTTTGCTTGTCTTCGGTCTCGAACCTCAGAAGGGAGATCAACAGTAGCAACACCAGTCAGAACATACAAAGTGCTTACTGCAGGCCAGGCACCTGGTCTTGTGTGTTAATCCGCTTAATCTTGCAAACGACCCTATGAAGCACGTCCCGTTAGGACATCCACGTTGCAGATGTGGAACCCAAGGCAGAGAGCGGTTGGGTAACATGTTCAAGGTTTCACTGGGACACAGACCCAGGCGGCTCAGGCCTAGGTCCGTGTTTAACCGCCGCCCCTTCTCACCTTCCAGCCTGGGGTGTGCGAGCGGGAGCCTCAGAGACAGCCCGCGCTCGGGGGGAGCAAGACTGGTGTTCCAGACGCGGGCGGAGGGTGGGAAAGAGGAAAGGTGCGTTCGGGGGACGGCAAATGCCATGGCGGACGCCGTTCCTCCCCACGCACCCTCTAGCGAGATTCTTCCTCCAGCGGCGCCCTTCCTCTAGACAGACGTGTGGACAGCAGGGCCCAGTCTCAGTCGTCTGAGACTCTCCAGCGCAATTCCCGGTACATAACAGTTGTTCGAAGAACGAGGGAGGGGAGGGGGCCGGAAGAGAATAACGTCAGAGAAGCCTCTCGAAGGAAGTGGTAGTCACAGTGCAAAGACTGCAAAAAAGTGAGGGGCCGGGATCTGGCCGAACCTGGATTCGGCAGTTCCAGGCCTCCGAGAGGGTTTCGGTGTAGGGTTGAGGGCGGGGGCCCAACCTGGACGGTCGGTGCTGTAGGCTGTGCAGGGCGAGGAAGCAGGACCCAGGATTAGCCGGGCCCTGGGTTCAGATCAAGGGACGGCAGGAGGTCGTGAAGACGATGGTCCAGCCCGTCCAGCGGCGGGCAGGGCGGCCGCTGAACTTGACGTTGCGTGGCACTCGTTTCCTTGAGCGATGGGGCTATGGGAGGAGGGGAAGGTGCGGAGGTGGAAACACGATCGAAAACGATGGTGTCTAAGTGAAGGTGTTCTTCATTTCTGCTCCATTTCAGTAGTCGGGACCCATAGTATGAGAGAGCGGTGGGAAGTCACTGGTTGTCAGGGGGTCATCACCTTAAGTTTGTAGAAGTCCGTGTAACGCGTGGTTCGAAGAGCCGGGGGTCAACGTGCCTGACTTCGATCTCAGTTTTGCTCCTAAATAACTGATCTTGGGCCAGGGACCTACGGCCTCCAGGCCTCAGCGTTCGCACGTGTGAAACAGGGTGGGTCCTGGCACCTGCCTCGTGACGTTGCTGTGACAGAGAAGTGAGTCAACAGGTGAGAAGCCATTAGACTCGCGCCTGGCATGAGATGCCCGTGGTCCTCACCAATGGCATGAGATGCCTGTGGTCCTCACCCACGGTGAGCCCGAGGAGAAAACGGGGCGAGTCAGGGCGTCAGCAGCTCTTTCAAAGAGCCTGCGTGCTCGTTCACTGCCCGAACTTTCTTATTAGAGTGCATAAAACATAAATGTACATTCAGTCAAACAGAAATCAAACACCTGTGTGACCACTACCTAGAACCGCACCAGCGCTCGGACACCGTCTTGCGCTTTCTCGCCCCAGGGAGGGCCACTGTGCCCACACTTGTGATCACCTCGTCCTCGCTTTCCCCTCCAGTTTCGCCACCTCTCGCAAAGACAGTGAGTTTTCCGTTTCCGGAATCTGTATGATGGAACGAGTTGTGTAGATTATTGTACCCGGCGTTGAATTTGCGAGATCGGCTCCTCCCGTGTCTTGCTGCATTTTCAGTGCAGGATAGAATTCCGGTTTGTGAACCGGCCGTGATTTATTACCCATTCTGCCGCCATGGACACTTGCACTGCTTCCAGGGATCATTCTAGAATCAGGGCTAGTTTGGATGTCCTGGCGGCCTGGGCACATACCTGGACAGGGCTGCTGGATCGCAGTGTGTCAGGGTGTCCAGTATCACCAGCTCCTGCCAGACTGTCCTCTAAAGATGCCACAAGTCCACATGATGACAGTGTAGAGACTTCCCATTTGCCCACATTCTCACCAGCACTTGGTGACGTCAGAATTTTTCATTCTGTCCACCTGGTGGGTGGGCAGCAGTTATTTATCACTGCCCATTCGGTAAGTATTTGCTGACTGTCCACTATTCGTGAGGCACCGTCCTAGGGGCTGAGGACACAGGGAAAGACAAAGGCTCTGTCCCCTCAGAGCCTGTGTTCCAGCTCCAAAGAAAACCGGTCAGGGTAATGGGACAGAGTGGCCGGCTGGGCACCGCGGGGGCTGGAGGGGCAAGAGGCGGGCTTCTCGGCTGGGGTGGGCCTCTCCGAGAGGTGGCCCTGGAGCCAGGCCTCGTGTGAGCCGCTGGCGTCCTTGCAGGCTGGCCGATTCTCCTGGGCGTGACCGGGATCCCAGCCGCCATACAGCTCCTGCTGCTGCCCTTCTTCCCCGAGAGCCCCAGGTACCTGCTGATTCAGAAGAAAGACCCGGCATCTGCCAAGAAAGGTGAGGCTCCCCTGTGGGAGGAGGAAAAGGGACAGGGCCACAGCACCTGTGCTCCGGGGACGCTGTGGCCACCCTCGGACACCCGTCCGCTCCCTTCCCGTAGCGCTGAAGCGGCTGCGCGGCTGGGACAACGTGGACTTCGAGATGGAGGAGATCCGGCTGGAGGACGAGGCCGAGAAGGCCGCAGGCTTCATCTCCGTGGTGAAGCTGTTCCAGATGAGGTCCCTGCGCTGGCAGATCATCTCCGTCATCATCCTCATGGGCGGCCAGCAGCTGTCGGGAGTGAATGCGGTAAGGGGCGGCCCGGGACAGGGCAGCAACGGGCAGGGGCCCAGCTGTGGCCCGGCCGACCCCACCAGCCTCTGGGGTTGTCTTCCAGATCTACTACTACGCAGACCAGATCTACGTAAGCGCTGGGGTGAACACCCATGACGTCCAGTACGTGACGGTGGGCACAGGGGCCGTCAACGTGGTGGTGACCTTCTTAGCCGTGAGTATCCTGGGGCGCTGAGTCCTGTCGGCTGGCGAGGGTGGAGGGCATCTCGAGAGTGGGGGTTCTCCCCAGGCAAGGATCTAAGGTGGCGACATGGCCCTCGGTCCCTTCACGTCTTACCTCAGGGCACTGCTCAGGTGGCAGCTTGTCTCCCGTGGGAGGCAGTCGATGGCCTTGTGAAGACGGAGGGCCCCTCCCACCCGCCCCTTCCACCTCGTCCCAGTCCCAAAGCGTCCACTGCGTGCTGGGGCTCTCCATCACCCTGGAAGCCACTCCCTGTGCCAGGTCCACAGTGTGACAGGAGCAAATGGGGCCTCTGGACTGAGCAGTGCCATGGCGCGCTGGCCACTCGTGGGCACACCCCTGGGGGCGCACGCCACGTGGGCTGTCCTCACAAGTTGCCCCTTCAGAAGCAGCCCTGTGGGACCGGCGGGGAGCTTCCCGAGACGGCAGCCCTGGGCACAGGCAGGGCTGGACCTCGGTCGCCGGCAAGGCCAGGGCTCCTAAGCGTCCCCGCTCT